CAAGGCAATCACTCCTCTTGTATTAGATGATCCTTTTGAGAAATCACTCATAGACACATTATAAGGGATTAAATCATCAACAGTTTTATCGATCACACTTAAAATTCTGGTGGGCAAAATATTCACAATAGCCCCATTATCAATTAACACCGTGGTCAAAGGACAACTATTCAAGTGTGCACTCACATACAAGAGCCTCAGATGATTTTCCAATTCTGGCTTAGGTGACTGGAGTACCACCTTCTCACCATTACTGGTTTTAACTACCTGAATGGACTTACCAGCCTCTTCTTTGGACTCATTCATCTTTGTCACCATCACAGTAGGCTCTGACAAGTCTTCTACATCTCCTTCCAATTGTTCCAACTGCCCAGGCCTTGCTTTAAACCTCTTTGGTAAAGCCAAAATCATATTACAATCAATGTGTGTAGGCAAAGAACCAAACCTGATTGCATCTAACTTCCTACCAAAATCCTTAGAACTTTCTTCCTTTGTACCTTTCTTGCTATCGATAGGAACTTCATCTGACTTGCTTGCCACAACATTCCCATCAGTCATTACCTCATCCTCCTCACTCTCTTCATCTAATAGGAGTGCTTTAGATATTTCCTCCAATTGCCTCCTAAGGAGAATCTTCTTAGGTATCTTATCTATTATTTTCTCTATTTTGCTTGACTCGCCACATTCTTCCTTCTTTTTCTCTCTCTCCCAAATCAAATTGTTTTGACCATCTCTCTTTAGATTATCTTCCTCCTTTGTTGAAAACATAGCATAAAACTTTCTTTGCTCCTTTCTTACTTGAATCCTAGTTGGGCCCATAGGCTTCCAACCTGACAAAGGAAATATTGGATGAACCACATCTTGCAAACCAGCATGTGTAAGCACTGGTGGCTTCACCATCCTTGGTTGTATTAGGGAATAAACCTGTGAAAACCTCACCCCTTGACCATGAAACTGTCTTGGCTTGAAAAACCTTTGGCCCTAGCCAATAAATGGCCTTTAAAATGGTCTTAGCACAAATACTGGTTTTTGAACATGACTAGAGCCACTAAATGGCTTTGATCTTTCAATTGCCTTACTTTAACTCTGGCCCCTTCTGTACCATGAAGAGAAGGATACACGAGTTGCCACCTGAACAAAAATAGACCATTCTCCTCACCATAGTGGACCATCTTTCTCACCATATGACCTGTCGATAGGCGTAAAAATCCCAGGGTCTTGCCCATCAAACAACAACTTGTTTCCATTGAAAATTTGAAGGTCGCCTCCACCTAAGGTATTAAACCTTAAGTCATGATCCTTCGCAGTCTCTTTCAACTTGTTAGCTAAAATTGCTTGCAATTTTTCCTTTTCAGTCCCACATCTTGAGCACACAAACTTGTCCTCATCAATCACCATCTTTCCCTTTTTCTTGCTTCTTCTCGTGAATCCTTTCCAAGTCAGACAGCAAAATAATTAGGTTTGGTGTCTTCCTTTTAATGCTAGTTGACACCATATAGATTGATGCCATTTCTGGAAAGAGATTGTTGTCGACTGCCATAACCTCCTTCTCCTTCTCTGCATATTTCAACAGTCCCTTTTATATTAAGTCTTGCACACAATTTTTGAAGTTACACAATTATTGGTAGAATGTCTAAAAGTATTATTCCATTTACAATATTATTTTCCTACTTTATCTTTTTCTTTTGGAATTATATGTCCAGGAGACAATGTTAAAAATTTATTAGCTAATAATTCATCAAAAATGGCATCAGCCTTGGACAAATCAAAAGAATACTGCCTAAATGTAGGGTTTGTATTTCTTTTGGTTGGCTGAGTTGCTGGTTTGTCCACTTTCCTCAAAATCCCACAAACCATTGGTGTTTTGCCAACCACTTAAGCCACATCAACATCAACTTTTGTTTCCACATCAACCTCTTGAAAATAAGTCCCATAAGAGTTTGTACTCCTATGTCTCTCCTCTCTAACTGTTGACTCATGTCTTGTTGCCCTAGATGACAACTCAAACAAGTCCCTAAACTCCATCCCTTCAAACTTCTTTCTTAACTCAAATTCCAGCCCATTTTGAGCCATTCTCATAATTTCAACCTCAGGCATGTACATTTGACACCTATTTTTTTCTCTCTTAAATCTCTTAATAAATTGCTTTGCACTCTCAGAAAAGTTCTACCTCATTTCAGACAAATCAACTATAGTTACTTCAGGCTCAATTCTACAAAACTAGGCATGAAACTGACTTTCCATCTCTACCCAAGTATGAACTGAATTAGTAGGCAAAATAATGGATCATGTGAAAGCAATCCTAGACAAAGAATGTAGAAATAATCTCATTTTAAGTATGTCATTATTTCCTGCTTCTCTACATTGTAAAGTAAACCTCCCTATGTGTTTAATTGTTGACTGGCTTTTCTCACGATGAAACAAGGAAAACTCACGTACCCTGTAGTTCCTAGGAAATGGTTCCTCATGTACCCATTAAGGGTATGGTTTCCTAAATCTAGGCCTTTCAAGCCTTCTCATCCTTGGACCATAAAGGTCTTGAACAATTTGAATAATCTGGTCTCTTTGAAGATTTTCACCATGATTAAAAGCATTTTGCTCCCCATACCCATGATATTTTTCAAGAAATTCATGCCAGTTGACATGTAAAGGGGGTATTGGATCTCTTGGCCTTGGGCCATTACCAAATGGTTCATGATGCATGTTAGGCCTGTGCATTTTAGGGTATGCACATATGTTACCATAATTATTTATCCCTTGGTGTCTATAACCCATATTGTACCCAATATTTTGATTTCTAAATTATAATTTTCAATATTATTTCTTGACCTCATGTTAGGATAACCATTAAATTCTGTGCTAAACAAATCTCTGCCTCTTACACCCTTTTGACCATATTATGGGTTGGAAAAAACATTTGACCCAGGATGCCCCCTAGGCCAATTTCCTTGAGTTTTAACGTTTAGGGTTTGAAATACCTCATGCATTCTTTTCTCTGCAGTTGGGTCCCTGTAAAAGGACATTGGCTCACCAATAGACTAGTGTGACACACTAGTTGGTGGCAACATGTGTGTTCTTGAAGACACCTTTTGTGCCTTTACTTCACTCTGGCTTGCATACTCCATTGATAGAGCTCTCAGCACACTCCTCACTTCTCCTAGAAGAATCTGGTTCTCCTCTAGTGACTGGTTTGCTAGTGCATCCCTTATTTGAGCCACTAAAACCCCTGTTAGAATTTTGGCATGGCCACTTGTCTGGCCTTCAGTACCAATTGCTTGGCCACCCATCTGGCCTTTATGGGCCACTGTCTGGCCTACATGTTGCGCACTACCATCATCAGCAAAGACCAAGTCTTGGTCCATCTCTTCTTCTTCAAACTTAGTAGGTCTTTTTCAGCATGCTTATCAACCTGTTTCTTTGCCTTCACCATTTCTTGTCCAAATTATGCAAGACGGTCCCACCAGGCGTTCCAAAAATTGTTAGTAAAAATTATGCCAAGGCTGGATCGACAGCAACTAAGCAGTAATTCAAACTACACAACTTTAAACATGAACAATCAAGCAATTGTGGTTTTGGTTCGAATGTCTCAAAAGAATAAGGACTTATTTGGTCTCTTATAGCTCTTTTATCCCATGACCCCATGATCTCTTTAATCTACAATTGCTATTTTGCAATGGCCACAACTGCACTCTCACTTCTCAATCTTCAAACCACATCATGCCTTTGCCTTTACCTATCGAACTTCATTTCTTTTAAGTTAACATGTGTCCATAAGTCCTTCTATCCCTTATTCGACAGAAGAAAAACTCCCACTCCGTTCATGCTTTCTTTTGAAAACAGCCCACTAAGTCCATGGCCACACTACCAATAACTGTTCCACCTTCTACGTTAGTCCCACATACAAACCCCACTTCTAATTGATGACCCCTGCCCTCTAATCATAACAATTTACTCTGAACTTGGTCACATGTCCTCCACTAACTGAACCACCTGTCGACAGGGACTGGCAAAAACAGGTGCAAACAGTTTGCCAAGTGTAATTGATTTGTGTGAAAATTAAGAAGGATATTAATACTTATTCTCTTTTGACTTAAAATTTTTTGTTATTCTTTTTTACTCCCATTTCCATTTGGGAATGGCTTTCCTCTAGTCCTTCATTGGACTGGAGGGTACTGTTGGGCCCTGTGGGATCCACCACAGGTCCCATTTTGATAATATGAACCGTTCAATGTATAGAACTCGTCGAGTACTATATGCTTGTAAAAATTCACTTTAATTGGATATCGATAACTCTGTAATCAAATCAGATTTTTGTCAACTGTTTATTTTTCACCGTCTATTTTTTTTTCATACAAAACTGATTTGATCACATAGTTATCGATATCCGATTAACGTGATTTTTTATAAACATATAATACTTGACAAATTCTACACATTCAATGATTTGAATTATTAAAACGAGACCTATAATAAATCTCCACAGTCCCAACAATACCCCCAGTTCAATGAAAGACTGGAGGGAAACATCCTCTTTCATTTTATTATTCTAATTTTATAACATAAGTTAATTAGTCGCAGCCAGCCACACTCCTGCGTATGTGCTTACCTCATATAGGCATACTACCAATGGACACATGTCCTTCCTACCTGCCTGCGTATGTGCTCACCTCATTGCCAACAATAATTTGAAAAAATTATAAGTAACTGAAATAATAGAGAAATTATTATATTATAAATAGAATTTTTTATGGTGTAATTTTGATACATAGTAAAGATTTTCATCATTACATCATATACATAATAAAGTTATATTATTATAAAAATATAAATATTTAACTGATTTGTAATTTCTCTGAATAACTTTCCCTTTACACATCAGTGATTTTGTGAAAAAATGTTTATAAAAAATAAATAAATATTAATAATTACAATTATAATGACTCCGCACATGAATTGTGTGTCTACCTATCCTAGTATATATATTTATATAACCGTTATGATTCAGTTGGTGCTATGCTACTGAGTAATAGCTAGAGAGAGAAAGAGAGAGAATGAGTGGAGGAAAAGGAGGAGGAGGAGAAGGGAAGGTGGTGTGTGTGACGGGTGCTTCAGGTTACATAGCATCATGGCTGGTGAAGCTCTTGCTTCTCCGGGGTTACACCGTCAAAGCTTCTGTTCGTAACCCAAGTCAGTCTCTCTCTCTCTCTCTCTCTCTCTCTCTCTCTTCTTGAATCCCTTGATTTTGACTTTATGTTCCAAAATTTTCTTCCTATTATGTATAATCAAAGTGTCTCTCTTTGATTACTAGCCTAAAAAGAAAAAAAAGAAAAAGAAAAAGAAAAATTGAGTATGAAGACCCTGTTATCTTTTGTGATTCTCTGTTTTACTATGACTAAAAATGGAAGCACTAACAAGAAACAAAGCAGCTTTCCATCTTTCAATCATGTATGTATGTATGTATGTATGTATGTATGTATGTATATAACAACATTACGCAGATATAATCCCTTATTAGCAGCTTGCTTGATAGTATAAAGATCATGACCCTTGATCTCATCTCAATCCAAACTTGTTGCTATGGTCTGTTAATTTAACAAACAATTGGTGAATGGCCCAGCACAAGACTAGGTCCTTTTTTGAAGAGCGAAGTAGAATTTCACCCAATTAACCTTTTTTATTACAATATGCTTCATTTCCACTATGAAACTTGGGACTTTAAACAGAATCATATCAGTATGCTGCATATTATGTACATCATAGACTTGCCTTTAAGAATACCCGCAATATGCTCAATTCTCAACTCGATGTGTGGAAATGGGAAATGGCTTATGCTTGAGGTAAGATATCCCTTTTTGTTTTCTTTTTTTTCTTTTTTTTGGTACTACACACATCTTTCGTTGTTCAATGACTTGGATGAATTTATATAATTATCTTCAACTTAGCTTAAAATGATGGTGGGTGACTCACAAAGAAATTATAAAAACCAATTTTGTTATTCAAAAAAATGATGCTCTTGCGTAGAACTATTTTTGAAATATTTCAAAAAAGATGTGGTTATTTGTTTTTATCCCTTCTATTATTTTTTCCGCATTTAATGATGATGAAAGGAGAATTATCTGCAATGTAAGAGAAAATGTAAAAGAACAAGTACTTTTTGTGTGTGTGTGTGTGTGTGTGATTAGCATCCAGTTCTTAACTTGATAGCTTGCAAGATATCGTGACAACAACTCAGAGTCATAGTATAAGCTCATTTAAATTTGTGCATGACAAACATTTCTGAGAACAGTAATTGGATTATTGAAAAGTTTTCTTTTGCTGTGTGACTCATCTTATATTTCATGTGTGTTTACCTCAATTCAGATACAACTTGGTTCTAGTTGTCCCACTAGATAAGATCCCAATCAATATTAGCATGATTTAAATGAATGTTAGCTGAATGCATCAATAGCAACTTTGATCCTCAAGCTTCACTAAAACTTTGTCTTGGCTTTGATGAGCCACTTCCCAATGGTCCTCTGTATCATCTGCTTGTTGATAACCTTATAATTCAAACTCTTGGCAACATATATATATATATATGTATGTATTGTACATTTTGCAGATATGGTTGCAAGTCTGCATCCATCATGTTACAACCTTATGAACATTTGTTATCTGGCATGCTAAATTATGCAGTTCCTTTTATCTTCTTTGTCTGAGTTATGTGTGCTTGATTGCAATGACCATGATGATGTTAGTTGTTACCCATCAAAATTCTACAACTGCTGCTTTGTTTTCCTGAATAACTTCTGCATTTCTTGGGAACCTAATGGAGCAAGACTTTGTATTAATTTTAAGCGAATGCTGTAGTTTTCTGTTTTTCTTACAGAGTGGGAATGTAATAATTTTCATGCTGTACCTTCAAACGATACATTTCTGTAATAAAGTAGTTCCAAGTATCACTTTCTTTCACCACAGAACCACAATTGTTATTATCTTACCCAGCTTAAATATCACTTTGATACATCGCTAACTTTGGAAATCCAATTTTGCAGTTCAACAAATAAACCTACAGTCATATTGTTGCTACATTTCTCATATATATAAAGTAACCAAATGTATGGCTGAGATAACTCCTTATAGTTTTTATTATTCTAGAGTATGTATTAAGGGGGCATGTAATCTATTTTTCTCTGGCACAATTTCAAATGATTTGCTTTCATGCAGCATGTCATCTTTGCATATTTTCCCAAATACCCAATCACATTCCTTCATTTGGTAATATGAAATTCAACCCCATATGAGGTGGTTACTTTTCACAGTATAAGTGACATGTACATCATGTCAGTACGTGCATACTATTTTCTAATGTGCTTCTATGGCAAACGAAGTAGTATGCAATATGCGATGAGAAGGCTTGAAGCATAGCAACGCTGACTTTGTGGGGTCTTTATTTTAATAAACTTTCACAACGCTGTCATATGTACAAACTTAGGATGATATGCCATTCAATAAAATCTCTCTCTAAAGCAGTCATGACACATCTGTCACGTTGGTCCTTGTGGAACAGATGACCCAAAAAAGACTGAACACTTGCTTGCACTTGATGGAGCTAAGGAGAGACTTCATTTGTTTCAAGCAGACTTACTGGAAGAAGGATCATTTGATCCAATAGTAGATGGATGTGAAGGTGTTTTTCACACAGCATCTCCTGTTCATTTTTCAGTGAGTGACCCACAGGTATGTATTGTATTACTTTATTAACACTGTAAATTTAGGATGTCAACACATTTTTACAACGAACCACCAATCTTGTAATTATTAACGCTTTTGAGTTGATTTATCCATGTGATAGAATAGTAGATGCCAAGCAGTCAAAGAAAAACCAAAGGAAAACTACAAAATTTTCAATTTTGTTTAGGTTAGGGCATACTTGGGATCTCAGGTAATTAGTTTTAGGCCTTTTTTTTTTGGGGGGAGGGGGGAAAGATTTCAAATTGATGAGCTTGGCTGACTCCAAGGGCTCTGGTGCTTTTGCACTGCACCACTGGTCTTTATTTGTATATATTTTCTAAATTAATCTGCTGGACATATCAATTAATCTTTTGGTTTCTAGAGTCATGTTCAGGCCAGTCTGAAACTACATAATAACATAAAATGTAGTGGCCCAATCCTGAAATCAGGCTTGGGCTTAATTTCCTAAGCTCAGACCAAAAGGAAATGAAAATGCTAATGATGCAAATTTAACCCAAAACTACTTTAAAAAAAAAGAAAAATTTTGTAACAATTTTGATACAAATGATAGTTAGATTAAGTGGCTTGGCTATGAATTTAGTGGTTCACATCTTTGAACTAGTCCTTTTATCATAAATCAACTGGTGGTGGCAGTGGTGGTAGTGAAGTGACAGTGGCAGCAGTAGTGATGGTAAGGTGGAGGTGATGGTGGTTATTGAGAAAGTGACGATAATAGAGTGGCGGTGATGGTAGTGATGATAGTTGTGTGGTTGTGGTGGTGATGGTGGTGGTGGTGGTGGTGGTGGTTGTTTGTGTGGTGATGAGGTAGTGCTAGCGACCATGATGGTGGAGTGTAGAGGTGGCGACGATGATGATGGGTGGTAGTGGAGTCATGGTGGCACACCTCAATAATGGTATAAGCTTATGTGAGTGGGTTAAATCACCACTAGTACCAAAACCTTAAGCTATTAAGAAATGGGCGCAACAAAATATATCTAACACCCTTCCTTATGGGCAACCTCGTCTTGCATATGAAGTTGCAAATTATCCATATATACGGAGAAGAAAGAATGTAATGGGGACCAAATGCAAAAGAGAGACTTGAACTCAAGACCTCCCTCAACTTGAGCTTTGATACCATGTTAGATCACCACTAGTCCCAGAAGCTTAAACTACTAAGAAATAGGCCAAACAATATATTAATCTCTCTAACAATTTGAAATTCAGCATAACTAAGAAGTCTGTTACTTAAAAAATTAAAATTTTAGCCTATTTTTATAGTTACTTAAAATTAAAAAGCGTGGTTATCAAATGCACTTATTTTTTTTCACTGAATACTTTCAGTTTTTAGTGTTGAATTGAGTTGTCAAACAACTCCTTAGCCCTAGTGAAAGCAAGAAAGAGATTATGCCATGTGATTAACAATGTAATGCTTATACTTGATAAGAGTTGATCTTATAAGAATTTGGTATTTTGTTTTTTGTTTTTTCGAATTTTCTTAGAGACATAAATCATTAAAGGGTCAACTGTAGTTGCTCCCTTGTGTGAAAAATTTGTCCCCTTGTCTCTCTCCATTATTTTGAAATGGTTCTGCTACTTCCGTTCCAAGAGAAACAAAAAACATCCAATATTTTCAAGGATTCCATTTCTAATCGCTTAGGGGCAGGGTTGTTCATGAGATCAATTACAGGTCATGTATAATAAAGTAAGATGCGACAGATTTCTAATATGTAATGCATGATGAATTATCATTTGTTCACTGTCAACTTATTAGTCTAATGGGACTTATGTTTTGCTTTTGCTTCATATTTCAGGTAGAACTAATTGATCCTGCATTGAAGGGAACAGGGGTGGTAACAGGTTAT